GTAAACATTTGTGTGATTTTAGTTGTAATTGTATTTTAATCTTCATTTGTAAGTTGTAAAGTAGAATTAGGAATTATGTTGTTGAAAAGGATGACTTAGAAGTGAAGAAAAAGGAGGTTTTACTATCCAGGAGCAAATACCCGACCGCGTAGAAGACTTCACCTGGTCGGGTCTGATTCAACAACCGAAAATACCTGGAAAGTGCACTCACCCGATCGGGTCCCCTACCCCACCTGGTCGGGTCTGACTTGACCCGAGACACTTTAACATGCCGAAGATCACCAGAACGTGGAGAATATTTGATTTTGACATGCACTCGGTCGGGTGGGCACTTTACCTGGTCGGGTGGGCACTTTACCCGGTCGGGTACCCGGCCAAAGGTGTTGTAAAACACCTATAAATAGCCCCATTTTCCTTCACTTTTAATCATCCCTTCTTTCATACTCTTAAGCTCAATTTAGAATAGCATTTCTTTATATTTTTCTAGCTATGTTTAGTCTCCAAATGAGGAGCTAAACTTCCAATTCTTGGTTTCGCTCTTGAAGCTTGTTGATTATTAAAGTTGTGAGTTATTCTCTTAACTTCTTCCCTTGAATATTAATTAATAGTTCTTTCCTTAATACCATATCTATATTAATGTTGGGGAGTGTTGCTAAGATGACAATTAGTTAACATCTCGACATTAGTTAGAATGATATTTTCTTCCTCTATATTAATGTTGGGGAGTGTTGCTAAGATGACAATTAGTTAACACCTTGATATTAATTATAGTAGGATTCATCTTCTTTAATAATATTCTTCCTTGAATATTAATTAATTCTTACTCATATTTCATATTAATATTTTGAACATTACTTAAAGGATCAACTAGTTTTGTTTCACATATTAATTATTACTAGAAACGATCAACGAATCGATGGTTAATCGTTAATGGTTTCACAAGTAAGTAACTTCGGTTTATTAATGCACGGTCGTGGTTAATAAACTTAAGAGGGATTAATTTTGTTGGTTAAACCGAAACCGTTGTGTTGAGGTTATCAATCTCAATTGATTTCATCAAAGAGTTAGAAAGATTAAATGCTACTATTAAATCGGTATAAGGCGTTGTTCTATATTTGATTAATAGTAAGGGTTATTAATGAACAGTCGTTGTTAATAACTACCCTCGATGAAGTGGATATACTCCCCGATTGAGTATTCGAGAGGCAATAAGTTATAGATATAACAATGATCGACTAAAATATATCAACAAGTGGAAAGTAGCAATGTCAAGTCCTTTTTATCTTTGAATTAAATCTCATATAGGTCGTTCATCTTAGTTTTTAATTAAATTAAATCACTCAATCCAAATCCCCCCTTTTATTTACTAAGTTTAATAAAAAGAGAATTATTCATTTCCCTGTGGATACGAACTCTACTTCACCTATACTACGTATAAGTGTTTAGTATTGAATTTATTTTGACGCACCGTGACAAAGTGCTCGTCAATATACCTATATATATATATATATATATATATATATATATATATATATATATATATATATATATATATATTAGCTTGGGCGCACGCGTTGCGCGACGGTTGATGCCCAATCTTCGGAGAAAACGAGAAAGTTACATAGAGATGCATTGAGGTCAACACGAAACAAAATTTTCTATTAATCTGACAAACTTATAATTTACCTAGACATAATAGGCTTCTAGTTGCTGGGGAGCAGCCATTAAAGTGAACACATATAAAAGATTGGAACTTGTAGCTCGAGGCTTATGTTAAACTGTTAAAAGTAATAGTAAATATTCTAACACAGGGTCAACATATAAGTTGACATAAGATCCAAAGGTAATAGTCATTATGTTCCAATGTAATGGCTTCTTATCTCTATTATTTTGATTAAAAGTTCAATTACATTATTAAAAAAACTCTCCTTTGAAAGCTAAGTTGCATAATCCCCACATAAACAATGACTAACCCGAAACATTGGGGTAATGCCAGAGCCTCCATCAGGCGTCCTGAAAGCACGTACCTAATACTAAAGACAAGAGAATCTCTTTATTTATATATAAACAAAAATTAAGGAATAATTTTGCAAAGGGAGCCAATTATAAAGTCAAAACCCTTCAATGAAATATGATTCTTCTTCGGTAAAACAAGGTTTAAAGCCAATTATAAAATCAAAACCCTTCAGAGGAACGAGGGAATACATAGGGAATACATATTGTTGACAAGTCACATTAAAAATATAGCTAATATACCTCGATATTAAGAGGCAGGATCATAAAGCGAGAGTCTCAAAAGGAACCACTCACCATAGCTAGCAACTCTAACCGATTGACATTCCAAATTTAGTATGATGTAATATTATGTCTCATAAGGTGCTTGTAACAAGAAGTGAATCTAACGAAAAGCTTTGTTACTCATTTTCTTTGGATGGATAAAGTGTTAACTAATCTTAGATAATTACTTTCACAACAAACTTTATGGGAATCATATAGTTTAGAGCTGGCAGTATTGACTATTGAGTCAAATTAAGAAACCAGTTTACCCCTCCATAGAGCTGGCAATATTGATTATTGGCAGTATTGAAGAAGGTTTGAGTCAGCAGAGTCTTTAGTACCCTCCAAGTGTTCAGAGCTACCTCTCTGTAATCTCGGAAGGATCTGAAAGCGAGAAACCAATGTTGTTACTCAAGTAGAAAATTTGTGTGATACATTAGAAAAAGGTATTCAAGTTCCATATATACCTTTCTCTGGATGGTTCTTATCAATTTTTAGTCTCAACTCAACAACAATATTGGGTTCTTCAAGATCATCAACCAAGTCGGTTAAGACTTCACTGCCACCACCTTTTCCAAATGTTTCCGTTAATGCGAGCTTATTAAAGTAGCTTAACCTGCAAGAGTGGCAAAAGTTAAGTACTAATGTTTTAACTTATTACTATTAAAATTAAAAAGATCGTGAAACTTAAACAGATTGTAATCAATCATGATCCACATGCACATGTTCCCTCTACTTGAATTCAAAGGATTAACATCCTACATTTCTAGATGAGTAAAAAAGTCATCTAATTTATAATGCTCAAACATGCTTTAGTGCTATTTGAACAACATCAAATAGGGAAGCACATGAAGCAATGAAAAGATAAATGTTTTTATAATTTAAGAGGGAGACATTTTAAAGCAATAACATTGCATCCCTCTAAGCTGTAGCAAAAGAATCGTGTAATTGCAAAACGAATGGACTTTACTGAGCTAAAGTAGAATTGGCCTCATGCTGCTAAAACTGCATATTTACTCTAAAACTGCATATTGTATTGTAACATTTGCTAAACCTGCATATCTCATCATCTTTTGCACGTTGCATGTAATTGTAAAAATAATAAATCACAAAAATTGCCAACTAACTCAACCTACAAATATTGAATGAGAGGCCATTAGGTCCAATGTTGAAGGGAAGATGCTTGTGATGCCCTCATAAACGGTGGAGGAGTACTTCATAACATATGATAATAGCCCTGGACATCGCTCCCGTTCTTACGCGCTAGAAATGAAACAAAATAGAAACAAAAAGAAATAAAAGCGGAAGAGAAACCTTAGCATCGTTGAGTTACCGGATGTACTTCAGAAATCTCTCTGCTATACTCCATAGTTGAGTTCTTATTTTTAAAAAATCTCTCTGCTATACTCCTTCATAAGTACTCTCTCTATGTACTGGCTTAATGTTCAATAGGGAATTTGGATTGCTAGGAAGTATTACCGTATACTTCTGTTTCCCAAAGGGTCGCACCCCCACAATTTTCCATCTATTTTCTATTGGCCATGATTCAATAGAAAATATCAAAAACAATGATAATTAACCTTTGACCCCCACATTTTTTATAGACTCATACCTACTATGAATACGACATGATTCAATATGTTATCACATTAGAAAATATACTCATCCAACCAACTGGAACAACAAGTGCGGCACTAAAGAGCATACCTAAACTCCATCCACAGCCAGATCAGGCCACCAACTCCGAACCAAAAAAAGCAAGCGCACAAAGAATTCTCCGACCCCCCCTCCCCGAAATGAAATAGAAACAAAAGAGAAGCAAAATATATAGGATAAGAAATCTTACCAGGGAAGGAATGATACTCGAGCGGCTTCGGCGGAAGGTTTTTTGCGATCTCGGGCGGCAGCGGAAGGATTTTGGGAACCCTGGACTTCCAAACTATGAAGAGCGTAGAAAGGAAACAAAATTATATCTGGCGTCGCAGAGAAAGAGCTAGATATTATCTCGCTTGAACAGAAACAAAGGAAACAAGCAAACGGGAAATGGGGAGGGGGTCACTTTTCTCTGCGCAAATCTGAGCTCCACTTAAACGGCGTCGTTTTGCTTATTAAAAAATTAGATCAGCTCTTTTCATTAATCGAACCTGCAGCTCATGATAACTGATTTCTCTCCGCTCTGCGATCCCTTCGATTCGTTTCTAAGGTTCTTAGATGGATTTTTCTGTCGACGATTCTGCTCTTTTTGCTTCTCATACACACGATAACATTAATCATTCAATTAATGATAATGATTTCGAAGTTGATCAGCTGGTTGATGTTGAATTGATTGGTAAGTATAAATTTTTCGTGCTTTATGAATTGATCAGCTGGTTTATGTTTTATGAATTTTTCATGTTTTTCGAAGTTGATCATGTTCTCTGTTTTATACCATTGCTTGAGAATTTCGATTGTATGAGTATTCATAGTTTTGATTTTATGTTCAGGAGAAGAAGATACTATTTCAAAAGCTTCTAAATTGTTATATCTTCTTAGCAGAGGTATTTATTCTGTCATGTAACTTCATTTCATTTTGGTTGTAATTCCGTTCGATGGTATTTAACTCGCGTCTCAAATGTGTGTAACTTGTGTTCTCTGATATGTAACTGTTGTTTAATTTAATGTAACATTGTGACAGTATGTAGTTGTTGATTGTTTTTCATATATATGCTTTATAAATTGACAGATTCATTGGAAAATGTTCACCAGTCAACTGAGAGTAAATCACTTGTTGGGCTTAGTGTCAATTGTGAACAGGATGCTTACAAACTTTACAATGATCATGCTTTTGAAAATGGATTTGGTATTCGTAGATGCAGACAGAGGTTTAGGAGTGGGAATGTAAGTTTGACTATGAAGTGTTATTGTTGTTGGAAAGAAGGGAAGAAACTACAAAAGGGCACCGAAAACAAAATGTATACCAAGTTAGATTATCGTACTGGTTGTAAAGTGATGTTACAGTTTTCTATTAGTTGTGATGGTGAATGGACTGTCTCAAAGCATATTATTGATCACAACCATGCTTTCTGTGCAATTGGTCAAAGACACCTGCTGAAATCACATAGAGGCGTTGATCGTGAGTATCTTGAATTTATTATGTTGATGAAGGAGAGTGGAACAAAGGTTTCAGATGTTCACAGGATGCTTCAAAAACAGGCTGGTGGTGTTAGTGCTCTTGGATTCACGAAACGTGATGCTTATAACGTTCTAAAATCTGAAAGAAGTAAAACGTTTGATGGTACTGATTCGAACACTTTGATTGGTATATTTAAGAAAAGGGCTGAAGTGGAATGTGATTTTTTCTTTGATTTTGAGTTGGTTGATGGTATACTGACTTGTTTTTTCTGGAGAGATGGTCAAATGAGATCTGATTATGAGAGGTTTGGAGATCTTGTTGTGCATGATAAAACTTACAGGACTAACAAGTATGATATGATCTGTGGTCCATTTATTGGTATGAATCACCACTGTAAAAATATAATGTTTGGTTGTGGCTTTATTCTAAATGAAAGGGTGGAGTCTTTTGTTTGGTTATTTCAGACTTTTCTGAAATCTATGGGTGGTAAACACCCCATCAGTTTCATGACAGACCAGTCATTTTCCATGGCAACGGCTATCAAATCTGTATTTCCTGGGGCGAGACATAGACTCTGCACTTGGCATATAGATGAGAATTCAAAGAAACACATCATGCATCTACGCAAGAAGATAAATTTTGTTTCTCTTTTTGATTATGTTGTCAAACGATGTGATACTGTTGCAGAGTTTGATTTCTATTGGAATGAGTAAGTTATTGTTATCTGATGTAACTTCGTGATTATTTTATGTAACTTTTTCAATCATTTGGTGTAACATATATATCTTCATATGTAATCTTGTCTTCTTTTCAAATCTGTTTTAGATTGAATACAGTTTATGAATGCAGTGACAACACATGGTTGAAGAGGCTGTACAGTCATAAAGAAAAGTGGTGTCCTGCTTTTTCGAAGGATTACTTCTCTGGTGGTGTTTTATCCTCTCAAAGAAGTGAATCTACAAATAGATCTATATCTAGAAGACTTACCAAGACTGCAACATTATGTGATTTTTACAAAATGTTTTGTGATGTTGTTGATGAATGGAGGTTAGATGAGAATGGTCATGATTTTAGATGTTCTGAAGGCACCGTTGAGATGGTATTGCTACAAGACACTTTGTTGACTCATGCGAGAGATGTGTATACCCTTGAGATTTTCAAAGTGTTCCAAGAACAATATTTGAAGGGTATGTCACATTTTTTTAAATTAATCTCACAGAATTGTCATGACTATGTGTATCATGTTTGGTTGAATGGGGTAGATATGATTAGACACAGTGTTACTTTTAATCGGCATGACAACACAGTGACATGCACTTGTAAGATGTTTTCTGAAGTTGGCATTTTTTGTAGACACATTTTGCGTATATATAATGTGCATTGTGTCAAATGTATTCCCCAAGTTTATATACTCTCTAGATGGACAAAGGCTGCCATTCTGCCAAATGTTAATCTTTCTGTTACGCACGGAACCGATATTATGTCTGGCAAAATATTGGAAGATTCTGTTTGGAGAGTGCAAATGACTAGGAAATTCAACTCAGTATTGAGTGCAAGTGCTGCTTTTCCTGAAGCTAGACGAGTATGTGATCAAGGATACGAGTCTATTAAACATTTTTTAGATGCACAAAGAGATGCTTCTGTTGTGGATGAATCTGCTTCTAGGACAATATTGGATCCTCCACGGTCTCGTTCTAAAGGTCAGCGAAATACCCGAAAGAGAAGTATTGTTGAGAAACAGTGCAAAATAGTCAAAGCTCGCCGTTCAAAATCCCAAAATGTTGCCTCCAATTCAAAAGCAGTTGTTCAATCTGTTGTACAGGTATTTGTTTATTTTTTTATGTATTTTATGCATATTTTCTTATCATTAATTTTTGTTTTGTTTGATTGTAGGACACTGTTAATTTCATGGTTCCACAAGGTTATGTACTTGCTCATCCAATTGGAGGAATGACGTCTTTAATGCATGTGTCTGGATCTCCACAAGTTTTTGCTCCATACTTCATGCAATCCAATGCTTTGAACCAAATGCAGAATTAGTTATAGTCACACATGTTTGGAAAACCAAATGCTTTGAGGAGTTTACATATCATATTGTGAACTTTTACTTTTGTTGCACCTTGAGTTACATTTGATTTTATAGAATTTATATTGTCTTTACAGTTTGTTTACATGTCATACAGCATTGCCATAAATACAATACGCAATCAAGTTTGTTTACATTTATTTATATTACAGAATGTAATCTGTGCAGTCACAGCTCAGTAACAGTAGTTACATTGTTTTTCCCTTCAGTTACATAGTTCTTTAACGTGACTTACATTTGTTGTACTCGTTGTTTACATCAGATGTGTATTACTTGATTAGCTAATGCAAGTGTACATAAGTTATATAAAGTGAGAAGAACGCTTTAGGTGAGAAGTGAGAATGAATCTCAGCCGTTGGATTCGACATAAAACATATAAAACAAACTAGTTTACATCAACTTATCATAATCCAACATATAAGTTTTCCACATATTAAACAGATAACTTTTGAGGTGCATTACAAGCTACTGCATAAAACCAAGAAATGTCTAAAACCCATACCACTGCATTACAAGCTACTGCATACAAACAGATAACTACAGCATAACGCATACCACCACACCCTCCATAAAACCATGAAATGTTTTGACTGTAACCCCATCATATTAATTAATTACATCTTCAAGTAGTCTTTTGCTTTTTTCAATATGTTTTCCCTTTCTTTGTTAAATTTTGACAGTAAAACTTGAGCTGCATACATCACTCTCATCTTTTGGATTGTTTCATTTTGAGCTTTTATTCCATCATTTGTGGCAGCAGTTGCAAATCCAGAATCCCATACATGTCCTTGCCCACGAAACGTCTCCAAGTGACACAAAGTATATACTCCACAGTCAACGTGATTGCTATTATGTCTCCATGGCATGTATAAGATTCTGGGGACCCAACTTGTTGTGCTTGAAATCTGCACTTTCTCACAGAAGGCTTTGAATCCTTCATGCTATACAAGAAGTAACATTAATGAATTAAAATAATATGGAATAATATGATTTCTTATTTCCAAAAACATTGTATTGAATTTTTACCATTTTTTCAAAGTTTTGCCATATTTGTCCTCAACGCTCACCCCATCTGGAAGCATCCGGTTGTCAATTACATCAACAATGTTGTTTGTTGTGTAAAAGCAGTAGATATAATAGTGTTCATGATTGTGAATGGGAAACAGTATCTGCATTATTATAAATTGATCTTCAGTTACATAAAATAATACAGAATCTACATAATTCATATCAGAACTTACATCACTCAGCTCTGTAGTTACATACTAAGGTATTATTTTTCACCCTTTGTTTTAAAAACATTTTTAACAATATATCTTATACACCGACTTACATAAAACAATAGAGTTTACATAATTCATATAAGACCTTACATTAGTCAAACGCTGCAGTTACATATTATGCTAAACATTTTCTATTACTAATATTGTTTCACACCGATTTACATTTAAGAATATATATATAAGGATTACCAAATTTGACTTGTGTTTTTACACTTGAATTATGTAAAATTAAATATTAATGACATTTTACCATATCTAATTTTGTGACATCTGCTGCAGCATCATTTATTTCTTTTTGCAATCTATCAACCATATTTTCTATTGGGTCACCAGATGCAAAATCAAACATTGCCTGCACATTCAAATTGAGTCACTCTTAGGAAAATATAGAAACTGAAGTTCTCTACTTTATTTTACAATTTTACAAGAAAAAAATATACATACATATACTTGGGTTGACGCAATGAAGGCACGCTTTGTAGACTTATTTGATTCTTCTCTGTCATTCAGAATCTTAGTGAATGCATCAATTATTGAGTTGTCTACATTTCCTTCTTGAAGTGTCTGAATTTCTTCATGAGTTATAAACACACCTTCCTCATCTATATAGACACAGTCTCTAACAGAATAATATTTTTCAAACAAATTGAAACAATTAATTATCAAATGATGTTTATATTGAAATAATACATTATATAATATTAGTTTTTCTTACTTTTCAACTTCTTTTGAGAATCCCCAATCAAGAACAATCTTTTCATCTCTGCTAAATTCCTTGCATAGCCTTCTATTATTCTTCAGAAAAGGTGATCTGTAATTGACAATTGAATCACCTAACTTTCGAAGCTTTCTCTTTCTGGTATATTGCTTTAGACCAACACTCCTTTGTAAAAAATAATATAATGTTAAGTTTATTTTATTAGTTAAAAGTATTGATGAATTACATAAGAAAAAAATAAAACTTACTCTGACTTATTATCAATTTCCTTGTTTACTTCTCCATCATCTCCGGTCACTTCTTCCTCAACAGCCATTTGAGCCACTTCAGCCACTTCAACATTACCATTCACTTCTCCATCAACAGAAACAGTTTCAGTCATTCCAGCAATGGTGTCAATCATCACATCTTCCACTCCATCAACAGTTTCAGTCATCACATCTTGTACATCAGGAGCAGTTTCAGTCTTCGCAGCTTCTACATCCACTTTTGATGTGCCTTCACCCTGTGACATGTTAAACTCAATTCCTATGTCAAATGAAGGCATTGAAAATTTCAGGAATGCTGCTTTCTCTAGTTTCTCAAGGGCTTCCATAACTCCAGGCTCATTAAAGAAGTCATCATCTTCCTCAAGGACACACTTCTCTGATAATCGTTGAGTTCCTTTTGCTTGATTTCCATTTGCTTGATTGATGAAGTAATCAGCTGTGGTCAAGTATATCTTCTTCAAGATATCAGAATTTGGGAACTTTTTTGCAATGGTTGACGGCAACTTTGAGAATTCCACAAAAGCATTAAACTTTTGTGCCACAGCTATAATCTCCTTCACACAATCCTATAAAAATTATAATAATAGTTGTTTAATAATACATAAGATACATAGTTATTGAATTAAGATTACAGGCTCCTTGGAAAAATCCTATAGTTATGTAACAATTGATTTAAGTTACATAAAATAGTCTTTAAGATCACAAAGTGTTGTATTAAAATTTACCTCCTTTGACAACATTTCAGCATCTTCATTTTCTTCATCTTCTTTTCCTGCTTCCTCTTCATCTTTGTCTTCCTCTTCGACTGTTATTATTCGCTTTGTCACCTTTCCCAGACCAAAGCCCACCTTTCTCTCATCTTTGACTCTTTTGTCAATTCTCTCCTTGTCCCAGATTCTAATGGTTGGATAAGCACTCTGCATAATTTGGCCTTTGAATTGTACTCGGTCAAAGTAACATATCATTAGAAACAGTAATGGTCCACTGAACATCTTTGATTGATTAGTTTGCCATTCCTCGCCTGCATCCATCAACGATCTTATTGTGTAGTTGCACCAATTCATGTTTGGTATATCAGCTACATTAACCAAAGACATCAATATTTTAAAATTGCTGTTAACACTCTGGTTTCCTCTGATCAAGCAAGAGACTGTAAAGACCACAAAGTTTCTGATGAATCTGTATCCAGAGTCAGTATCTGCAACTATTTTTTCAATCATTTTTTATGTTTGAGGGCTTCCTTTATCAATCCCCCATTCTTCTCTCCATTCTTGTAGCAGTTGGGTATACTCTTCAGTTTCATTCTTCGCATTCGCTTCTTGAACTTCTATCTTTCCCTTTGGCAGACCAAATACAACTTTGACATCTTCATCTTCAATATCTAGCAGCTCACCATTGGCAAGTTGTAGCTGTCCTGAAATTGGTCTAAAGTTCTTCAACAAAAACGCAACCAAATCTCCACAGAATCTGTCAAAGTTTAAATGCAGTAATCCCCCAAATCCAATCCTTTCAACTGCTGCTTTTTTCTTTCATCTAATTGGTTAATCAACTTTATGAAAGGGGCTGGTCCTACTCTTGTTCTTAGATTTACAGAAGGCGGCCTGTTGCTTGTCTCCACTTCTTCATATTCATCGTCTGATTCTTCAGATTCTGCTTTCTTCTTTTTTGGGGCTGCTTTTCTTTTTTTGCTTGTTGTTGGCTGATGATATTCTAGCCTTAGAATCGGTTCTTCTGTGTTCAGTATCCTTGCAGTTTCATTGTGATGTTCTGTATGCTGAGTTTCATTTTCAGGAGCTACAACACTTCTTGTTCTCCTTATATTGCACATGAGTTACATTTTTGTCACACACAATTGCCATAATAGTGAAATGAAGTTACATCATTCACAAACAGATGAACAATGTCATGTGGAGCACATGAGTTACATATTTTTACACACAATTTACATAACAGTGAAAAGAAGTTACATCATTCACAATCAGATGAACAATGTCATGTGGAGCACATGAGTTACATATTTTTACACACAATTTACATAACAGTGAAAAGAAGTTACATCATTCACAATCAGATGAACAATGTCATGTGGAGCACATGAGTTACATCTTTTTACACACAATTTACATAAAAGTGAAAAGAAGTTACATCATTCACAATCAGATGAACAATGTCATGTGGAGCACATGAGTTACATCTTTTTACACACAATTTACATAAAATTGAAAAGAAGTTACATCATTCACAATCGATTGAACAATGTCATGTGGAGCACATGAGTTACATCTTGTCACACACAATTTACATAACAGTGAGAAGAAGTTACATCATTCACAATCAGATGAACAATGTCATGTGGAGCACATGAGTTACATCTTGTCACACACAATTTACATAACATTGACAAGAAGTTACATCATTCACAATCAGATGAACAATGTCATGTGGAGCACATGAGTTACATCTTGTCACACACAATTTACATAACAGTGAAAAGAAGTTACACCATTCACAATCAGATGAACAATGTCATGTGGAGCACATGAGTTACATCTTTTTACACACAATTTACATAAAAGTGAAAAGAAGTTACATCATTCACAATCAGATGAACAATGTCATGTGGACTTGCTTACAATCACAGACCAAGGCAGAGGATTTATGTATTATTATACACAGGTTACATAAAATTAATAAAGTTAATCTAGTATTAGTTTCAGTGACATGCAACACTATATCACAAAAAAAATCAATGACAAACTAAGGCATAACAAACATATTGAGGTATGCAACACTATATTACCAAAAATTGTAGTTACATCGACAAATTCCTTATTATGCTCGATGACATATGAGCATTCGCACTTTGCTTATTCAAATTGAGATCACAATAAGACATAAATCACACTATTCAATACTCAATCTCTTTCGTTTTTGAGAGTGACTTACATGCATGTTAAAATTTATAGCAAATTAGCACATGAATCATATTGTTACATTCTCAGAGATACATTTTGAACTTCAAAAAGCAAAGTACATAGTTCGTTCGGATGAAATACCTTGCAACTGTTTTGCCTTTAGACCTCGTCATTTTCTCGATCTGCAAAACGTTCTTCTTCGTTCGGATTCTTACTTTTCCTTCTTCAGAATGCACTTCGAATGGTGGAACTCTGTCTGACGGAACTTGATGGAAGCGTGAAGTCAGAAAGTTTTTCGAGAAATGTAAATAGCCAATGTCAAAAGACGCAGCTATGGGAAGAAAAGACGCGCCGATTTCGAGAAGGCCGTTGTGCGCGTTTTTTTAATAGAACGACGTCGTATTGAAGCGGGTGTAGCATGCTCATAATGGGCCGGTCCTATGGTATACGAACTCCTTAATCACTGTACACACGGAAATAGGCCAACTAACTGCCTTATAGCTTTTAATAGTATAGTACGTCCAAAAAGTTGAATCCCCAACCACAAGAGCCCCCACCCCGACCCGACAGGAGGGTGGGGGAGTAAATCACGGTGACACAGTCGGCAAAGCGGCAGTAGGTCTTTACCTGTGTGCATAAGAGGGTCAGCCTTATTTCAGGTTCTGAAAACTCCCTTTTTGGCCGCTGTGGGATTCGAACTTTGATCTACGTCCAATTTTTCCCACCGCTCGACCAACTGAGCTACCCATGCGGGTCGCTCGATCAAGTGTGTGTTTGTTTCTTGTATCTCAGTCATATTTGAATTCTATATCTTATCTTAAAAACTTATACGCACGAATAAAAACAAACGTAATAGTGGTATGTAATAAGTGTTGGTGTAACATCAAACAACGTTAAGTTTATTAGAAATTGCTCTAAATAGGAGCAAAAACGTTTTGAAATTCCAAAATAGGAGTATCATTTTTTTATTCCCTGAATATGAGTAATCTGCCAAGTTTGAAAAAAATGTCATGTTTTAAAGTCTAGCAATGCCAAATTTGGCAGACATTTACTCCTATTCAAGGAATAAAAAACATGATATTCCTATTTTGGAATTTCAAAACTTTTTTACTCCTATTTAGGGAATTCTCCCTAAATTTATATGTAAGACTTAATTATTGTACAATCATATTTCTATACTAAAGTGCACTCCATCCTCGTCAAATGACTCTATTTCTTCTTCTCTGTTTATGTACATCGATCTCTCCTTGTTGTCTGTTCCATTTTCATGTTAGATTTAATGTGATAGGTTATTACTTATCGTATGATTTTATTCAATTCTTCCTTCATTTTTTCCTTCTATAGTTAGCATTTTTGTAATGAAAACAATAACCAAATGTCCATGTTAATCTTATTAGGCAAAATGTTATTGGACATTGTTCCAATCGAGCATGGTGATATTAGTTTTAAAATAAACTTCTTCTTAGAGACTATTTGTTTATCACCTATTTTCAAAAGCAATAGTTACCATTGCTCATTACGATTTAATACGTGCAAAAGATGTAGGGGGTTAATGTGTCAAACCCGCTAAGCCATATAAAACTTCAATGCATTATTAGATTAATGTGTTTTAGAAACTGCGTCAAACCCTCATGAGTTATGATTAAGCATGTACGTAGCACTCTGAAGTAGCGAATTTAGTAATTTCAATTCACGTGTTAATGTTATCACTGAACATGCACTGATGCAAGTAAGTTGTCATGATCTCTAAATTATATTCCGTACAAAAGAATTAACTAGTACTCTTTTATTTTGCAATTAAATTTTTTATTGAAGAGGATTTTGTGCTTGGTTAATTATAAGTGAAGAGAGTTTGACACATATTTTAAATTCTAAGATATATAAAATTTATAAGGAAAAAAGGTTAAATAAGTTATTCTAATATTTCCAATCCATCACATAAGTCCTTCTACAAAAATAAGTTAAAAACATATGGAAAAAACATTTACAATATACCTTATAAATACAATAATAAAAATTTATATGAAAAGTAACTAGAATGGTTTTCTTCATCGAATTCAATGAGAAAAATATTTTTAACTTTAATTCTTTTGATGTTACCGAATTTGGTGCCTAACATTAAATAAAAAATTGTCCTAAATAGGATAAAAACGTACATAAATTATAAAATAAGATTATTGTTTTTTATTCATTAAAAAAGGTAAGATAAAATAGCATTTTCATTCCCTCAAACTGTGTCGATATTGAAATGTATTCCCTGTGTTCTCAAGTGTGTAAATGTTACTCCTCAATTGCTCCGGTACATGTTACTCCTCAATTTTCGTCACTCACATTGTAAATGTCACCCGTCAAAGGACCACATTTACCACAATTTGACAATTGAGGAGTGTCGTTTCAATGTGCGTACTATGTGAGAGACTATAAATGTGATTTCCCAATATGTAATTAATGCACGATTTTAGCATCATCAAACTTTAAACATGGCATATTTTTGAAGTTTTAAGGTAGATAATGAAGAGATAATAAATAGAGTTGTGCTAGGTATACACTTTTTGTGTACATTTTTCATACACGCGTCTGTCTCGCACACATGCAACTCATACACGCGTCTGTCTCGCACACCTTATCCCTGAAGCCCTCAACCTGGATCGGACGATAAGTTGGTAGGACGTAAGTTGAACTATAATCTCAATCTGACAGATAGAAAGTAGAGCTCTGTTCCTGATACTTGCAAGATGCCCTATGCATTTTTCGCATAGTAACCTAACGCCCACCGATTCCCCGTCACACTTCAAAGCGTCCGGCCAGCTCACATGGGGACTACATGCGTTCCAGTAGCTTCCCCCGCCAAGAGCCATTTAATGAGTTGTCATTAAACTTCAGAGGTGCAGAGCATTTCATATACTTACTGCATTTCTTCTGCTCCAATTTCACAACCGTCGAATATTTGAAAATAAATCATATCCAATTTCTCACTCTAAGGTACGCATTCATTTTTCTGGTTGGGAAATGGTGCAAAGTTACAAGTGCTTGAGTAGAACTCTCATAGTGCATTCACCGACTGTTCTATTGCTTAAAAGTTTTATGTCTTTATCCCTGTAGATAAATTACATTTATCTTCCTACTATACTCAGCAAGCTTTGATTTGGGAGCTCGGATGATTCCTTTTAAGCTGCTCGACTCTCATCCAAAGGTAATTCTTTTTGGGGTTTAATTAATAATGCATCTATCGAGCCTAGCTTTTATGCACAAGTTATGCCCTCCCAGCCTTTAAAAAGTACTGCAAAACAATCAAAACCTTATTCTAACATTTTCCTTTGTTGTTGTGATGAACACTTCCCTGATCATATTATAAACCTATAGCCTAATTCTTACTTTTCACTCTTGTTGTTCCCTCGTGCTCTTCTCCCAGCATTTAATTAGTGATGTACTGACGATATTAATTCGCTGTTCCATTTAATTAATGGTTGGTCCAGTATGTTTCTTTTGCTAAATTAGGAATACCAAATAAACAAATGTTTTTGTTAAAAATAAAAGGAAGTTTTTTGTTAAAAAGTATGGCTCTATAACGGTGTAGACTGTAAAGTACTGAATATAAAATAAAGGAACTACGTAGTACTAAAAATAAATACATAGTAAAAACTTACTCCACACAGACTTGTAAGTTATGGGTTAAACTGTTCTTGATATAGTTTTGCTAGTGCTAATTGGTTCCACATGTATTTGTTCGATGATCAAACTTCTTCTATTTTGATATTCCAGAGAGGCGTGGAGGAAGCTAGAACATCCTTTCCTGCCGGTCATCCGAGGCTAATCCATTTCGATGATCTATTCTCATTGACCAGAGGTGGTGTTGTGAGTATAGAGAAGGATGAGCATTCAGCTGATTCGTGTAGAGGAAGGAAGCATTACCGTCCAGGTGAAAGTGGGCTAGAAGAAGAGGAAAGGAGCAGCAAGCAGAGTGCAGCTCATAAGGAGGAGGATGACTTATCAGAAGTGTTTGATAAAGTTTTGCTGTGCACTGATGAAAATGATGATTCTCCATCTGGAGCAGCGAAACAACGACAGATAAGGCGAAGTGGTCGCAAGAGCCGTTCAAATAAACAAGGAGACGGTTGTGAAATTGTAGATCTGCAGTCTCTTTTGATCATTTGCGCAAAAGCTATTGCTGATGCTCAGTACAGGGATGCAGAAGAACAATTAAAGTTGATCAGGCAGTACTCTTCGCCTACTGGTAGCGCAAACCAAAGGCTGGCACATGCATTTGCCGAGGGTCTTGAGGCACGGCTAACTGGAACCTGGCCACAACTCTATCCTTCGTCGTCATTTCGCAACAAGATCTCAATTTCCGAATTACAAAAATCCTACCTGTCATCATCTATGCCATTTATGAGGATAGTAATCTTCTTTGCGAATAAAATGATTTACGAAGTAGCATCAAGAGGTGCATCGCTCCACATTATAGATTTTGGCATTCTTCTTGGTATACAGTGGCCCACTCTTATTAGAGATCTTTCACAACGACCTGGTGGCCCTCCAAAACTTCGAATAACAGGGATTGAGCTTCCCCAACCTGGTTTTCGCCCTTCGCAAATGCTAGTCGAGACTGGTTGTCGCTTGGCTAAATATTGCAAGTGTTTCGGTATACCATTCGAATACAATGCCATAACAGAAACGAATTGGGAGACAATTAAGGTTGGTGACTTGAAGCTCGCGAGTGGTGAAGTGGTTGCTGTTAACTGTATTGATCGATTTAGACGCCTACTGGACGAGACAGTATGTGGTGCGGACTGCCCAAGGGATAACGTTTTAAACTTAATCCGGGACATAAACCCTCAAATATTTGTGCATTCCGTGCTGAATGCATCTCACAGCTCTCCTTTTTTTGTCAATCGGTTCCGAGAGGCGCTCTTCTTCTACTCTGCTCTCTATGATATTCTTGAAGCTGTTTTCCCAAACCATGATAGTCAAAGGTTGAATTTCGAACAAGCTTTTGTGGGGCCTACAATAAATAATATTGTAGCGTGCGAGGGCTTGGAAAGGTTAGAGAGGCCTGAAACATACAAGCAATGGCAAAGACGCACTATGAGGGCTGGGTTCAAGCCTCTTCCTGGGAATCCTCAACTTATGGAGGAATTAAAAGGCAAGGCGAAAGAATCACTTCACAAAGACTTTCTGTGTGTTGAAGATGGTCATTGGGTGCTGCAGGGGTGGAAAGGCCGTATTCTTACCGGCACCTCTGCCTGGGTAACTCAAAACTGAAATATCCTTCAAGAGATTTTAAAATAAAATAGGTAAAATGCATAACAGGAGAGTCTGTTCCTTCTTCAAATAGAAGAAAATTGTGATACTGGCCTGTTCATTTGCATATTCGCACAGTAATTTAAAGACATCAAGTAGATTTTGATCAGTTGCTCTTAGAAGGTCTTTGAAATCTCCAAATTAAAACAACTGACTCTGCAAATAAGATAATTCATTTTTCAGAAAGGAAAGGAAGTACCAAGCATGCAAAACTATAAAATTTCCTAACCTAACTCACCTTGTAACCAACATGGAACGTTGCTGAAATGCATCAGAAGAAGCAAGCAAATCGTGTGTGTATAAAACGGCTTGCCTTGTCGATGATTATAACATGAATGGCAACACAATAGCATCAGAGGCATTGGTATTGAAAGGATACAGCAGGGATATGAATAGGCTATATAAGATTTTATACCATTAACAAAAAAATATCACTTTTGGGAGTGTAGGATTATTACATACTCATAACGCAGATAGACCTACATAAATTAATAGGCAATTACAAATCCCAAGTATTTGGAAATTAGATACCAGCTTTACTATGAATAAACAAAGCAAACCCCAATGTTAATCACAACAATGCTCCCACTTATATTATTGGAATTATATACAAGTCCCTCACTCCCCCAGTCTTAACCCCCATACAAGTGTTATTGGAATTATATACAAGTACATGGCAAAGTACAAGTGTTATAGGTCATAACTGGTACTTGCATCTGAGTCTATTTTAGTTTACCTAAATTTATCACACTAAACTTGTTTGTTATTCTGTTTGGGCAAACTTATTGAAAATTGGACAATCATTTAATCAATTTCTCTGCCGCAACTTTTCTAGTTAGTTACCCTTACTGATGCATGTAAAAAAACATGAGAAAGCAAAATCTGAAGAAATTTGATGTGATAGAACACTATATCTAGAGACAACTGGAATATTGGTTATGGAAACATGACTTCATATTTGAATAATAAATTCTCCATCTTGAAGTTTATGAACACCCCAATCTTGATTAGATAATTTAGATCTGCACCATTATCCTACAAAAGAATGTCACATTGTAACAAGTTCTCAAAAGGAATAATAGATTCTGAGAATATGCCACAGCAAATCAAAGAATGGCCAAACATGAGAAAAGTGTCAAACTTCTTCATTGTCCCCATGCCCATAGAGTGCAAATGCAGCATTGGGTTGCACACTTGCATGTTTCTATTTTTTCGAGTCTAAGAAGACTCAAGAATGGCAAAATACAACCACTTTGGCTAAAATTAGACATTGCCAAATTGGAAACCGTGTTAAGACCACTTGAGCTAGATATTGATCCAATATTTCCTCAAAGGAGGCCAATTCAATGAAAGAAGCAATTTGATGAGAGTCGAGATAGCACTTCAGAAGTTGTTAATCTATCTGCTGATGAGTCGTTTAGACTTAATTATTTTTTATAAATTGTTGATCAAGCTATTGTTTCATTGAGAAGGGGGTTTGAGCAATATCAGAAGTTTGAGAGTATTTTTGGATTTTTATTTACATCTGAGAAATTGAGTTCACTAGAAGATGCACAATCGAAGTTATGTTGTTCTGATCTTGAAGGTGCTCTTAAGAAAGATGAACGGTCTGATGTTGATGGAGATGATCTGTATATGGAATTGAAACTTTTTATCTCTTTCTTACCGGAGAAAAAGTTGGGACCTATTGATCTCTTTAAATTTTTGAAGCCTTATACTTGTTTTCCTAATGTAGTTGTTGCATACAGAACAATGTTGACTATCCCAATGACCGTGCCAAGTGCAGAAAGAAGTTTCTCCAAGCTTAATTTGTTGAAATCTTATTTGCGGTCTACAATGTCACAAGAGAGACTTAATGATTTGACAATGATAGCGATTGAGAGTGAGTATTTGGAGAAGATTGAGTACAAGGATTTGATCGATGATTTTGCTTCAAACACGGCAAGGAGGATAGCTTTATTCAAGTGACAACATTACAATTCTATGTAGTTATTTTAAATTATGTCTTTTTCTATATGAACACTTGAACAATTGATTTTGTTGAACATTTGTCATATTTTTTAACTTTCCTAACACATCTTTATATAATATAAAGTAGCAATGGTGCAACAACTATTGGAGGGAATTTTGCCGCCCAAAATAAGGGCATAATTGGAAATTGGAAAATGCATGTGAAAGAGATTTAGAAGTGCCGCCCAAAAAGCATGCCGCCCATGAAAGGTAATTATGACACTACTTGCCATATATTTACGGAATTATTATGTGACACTACTTGTCATATACAGTAACTTCCTTCGTATACTAAAATAGGAATATTGAAGACATAGTAAAGTCTACCATATATCGTATTTGTATTAAATGTACTATTATTTAATTTGTTCAGTACGTGTACTATTATAATAATAACCATAACTTCATTACACACTATATGACTTTATAGGAATTAAAAGTATATTACACAGTATATGACTTTATTAATTTATATAATGTAAAGATGGTTACATAAAACAAATATAATTAAAACTAATTAGAGGAAAGATTTTGTAACAAATTAATACTTTTATAATTATTACAACTATTGTTAATACATGAGATAGTGAATATTCAATACCATGTCATATGGCGTGTCATGCCATTAAAAAGTGAAAACAAAAGGAAAACATTTATTATTGCATAATTTCACACACGTTTTACACTCTTTATTTTGAAAGTTTATTCATTGTAATCATACATGTAATTGAGGCGCATATAAGAGCAATAATTTCTTACTTTTATTGTCTTAACAAATTTTGGGCAATAATTTTTCATGCATGCACTGCTCAGATTTGAACTACCGTTTATTATCAATTTAATTTATAATAATAATTGTAAGGAATAATTGTAATTAGATTTTGATGATGCTAGGTTAATTAGAATGTTAAAGTACCCCATTAGAACATTGGTATTAGAAATTTTTCTAAGTGTAAAATTGTAGCATATTCGACGGGACAGAGAACCTCAAGGATCTCTGTTAGACCAGAGAAGCAACAAAGACAGAAGGTCGGGATATTAACAGAGTTGCCTTCTACTGCCTCTACCAGAAATGCTCCTTACTTAGAAGATTTCGAAGTAACTTCCAGCGGCCGTGAAACTAACGGGAAATACCCTAACGGCTAGGAGTCTTTCAATGGAACATGGTACTGTATATGCATTAAATGCTCAATTAATGCAGTACGTACAAAGAGATAGTTAAAGCTGATGATTGACCATGCGGATATCCTTTCGCCCCCAAAATAGCAAGTCGAAGAACCAACCGGTCAAATCAACAGTACAAGCATTTAATGAAGCTGTCTTCTACACTCCAACGAGAAGACCGCTCCTAGACTCCTAGTATATAAGATACACTTCGAAGAACTACATGATAACGTTGCTCAACCTTTGATCTCACAACATTCAAACCTACAAGCTTTCTTGAGATCAAAACTCCATCTTCCATTACAAGAAAAGCTTACGTTGGAAATATTTAATCTACATATCTTTTCTTCCATCATGAGCAAAGTTCCTCCAGTTCTTCAACACTTCGAAAGCCTCATCTACACATCCTTTGTGAAGAAGCTACATTGGTGAAAACTGATTTTCAATCAAACACTTCTTGAAAAAGAAGGGACGTCTCAAACTAACTAGAGTAGTGAAGTGGGGATACTTCAAGAGACTCAGTGAAACGAGACCAGCCATCAGGAAGCAAGGACTGCATCCCGCGTGGCAACTAGGCTTGAAGAAGATGTGGAGTGCTTCTTAAGTGCTAGGGACTAAGGCGTTGTAATTGTTGACTTACAAGCTTAATGGAACAGTGGACTAGAGGAACACGTTGTTCCTTGAACCACTATAAAAACCTCGGTGTCATTTACTTTACACTTTTACTATCTGCACTTAAGTTTCTAACTGATTAACTCAAAAAGTTGGACTCTGTGTTCAACAGATATTCTTTAAGAGTTAACAGAAAGGCATTTGCCTTAGTGTTTTTCTGAGGCTACCCGGACAGAACTCCTATCCGCTGCCAAGTCCAGTTCTGTTAACAGAACTCGACCTTCTCTGTCACCTATCCAGACCTTCTCTACTGAGTCACTTATGACTTTGAGAAAAGTTTTAAAAATCCTGAACAGTCTATTCATCCCCCCCCTCTAGACTGTTTTTAGTACAAACGGGACCAACAAGTGGAATCAGAGCCTCCTCGTTCTTGTAATCTTTTAGGTTACTTGCTGAACAGAGATCCACTTGTTTCTTAGCCTCTGCTTAATTTCTTATTATTGATAACAC